ACACCTTGCAATTGTGTTTTGCTGCCACCATGACATAAAACATAAAAAAGGTAATTGTGACTTTATCTCACAATTATGACTTTTTTTTCTCGCGATTGCAAGTTTATATCTCACAGTTCTGACTGTACTTCTCAGAATTGCAAGATGAATAAAAAGTTCAAAAGAACAGCATTTATTTGAAATAGAAATCTTCTGTAACATTACAAACGTCACTTTTGAACAGTAATGTGTCTACTTTATCTTATAGTATTCATTTCTTTTTGTTTGACCCGTGATGATGCTGATGCTAATCTCTAGAGAGAGACTGATGGTCCGTTTCATATCACATGGATTCCTAACCAGTTAGACGTCATTATATGTAATTAAACAACAAATTAGTCTAAATGATCATTGTATCATGTAGCTGGATGACATCTGTTCAAGATTAATTAACGTAATACAAAAATGTAGGTATATATAATGTGTTTAATTCATGCCATCCGTTCTCATCTGCTCAATCATCTACATTATTCTCTGTAAACGGAGAAATGGCACGACATGTGCTCAACAGCAGGAATAATGGAGAGAGAAGCGCGATCTGAGAGACGGAGGAGACGTAAATAAAGCGCAGCGGTGTGTGTGGCAGCAGTTATGAGGGCCGTAGTGACTTTATTTGATCCCAAACACAAAGTGTGGGATGTAAATCAAAATGTTTAATCTTGCTAAATGTTGTTAAAATATAAAATAATGGTTTCTATTTTAATATCTTTTAAAGTATAATTTATTTCTGTGATGCAAAGCTGTATTTTCAGCATCATCACTCCAGTATAAAGTGTCACATGATCTTCAGAAATCATTGTAATATGCTGATTTATTATTAGAATTATCAATGTTGTGCTGACAAATATTTTTTTGGAAACTGCGATGCTTTTTTCAGGATTCTTTGATGAATAAAAAGTTAAAAAGAACAGCATTTATTCAAAATATAAATCTTTTTCTATATATTGTATTTATTTATTTATTTATTTGTGTTAAGTATCTAAATACTTAAAATCAACTATCCAGAAATAATTACAAATAAACAGCAAATAATACATTGAATTAAACAGCATTTTGAAGAAGTATTGTCTTGTGAAACATAAAACTACATAATTTTTTTGTTTTAATTTTTACAGTGTAGTAAGTAGTAGTAAGTGAGGTTTATAGCTGGAGTTTCTATGTGTTTACACTGCAGTAAATATGTGTGTGTGTATGTTTGATAACTGTTACTAGGATCTTATGCAGTCTTGAGCAATGAGCATCTGAGACTGGAATATTATAAAGTCAGATGCTTTTCCCATTTCGTTGTCACACTTTTGAAACTTCATCACACACACACGCACACGCACACACACACACACACACGCACACACACT